GTTTGTAGTATATAGTATAGTATTAGTATATATGGAATAAAGAACATTAGTTAAGCTCAGACAATAGAATAATGAACACTTGTTAAGCTTATCCAATGGGATAAAGAACACTAGTTAAGCTTATCCAATGGGATAAAGAACACTAGTTAAGCTTATCCAATGGGATAAAGAACACTAGTTAAGCTTATCCAATGGGATAAAGAACACTAGTTAAGCTTATCCAATGGGATAAAGAACACTAGTTAAGCTTATCCAATGGGATAAAGAACACTAGTTAAGCTTATCCAATGGGATAAAGAACACTAGTTAAGCTTATCCAATGGGATAAAGAACACTAGTTAAGCTTATCCAATGGGATAAAGAACACTAGTTAAGCTTATCCAATGGGATAAAGAACACTAGTTAAGCTTATCCAATGGGATAAAGAACACTAGTTAAGTTTATCCAATGGGATAAAGAACACTAGTTAAGCTTATCCAATGGGATAAAGAACACTAGTTAAGCTTATCCAATGGGATAAAGAACACTAGTTAAGCTTATTCAATGGGATAAAGAACACTAGTTAAGCTTATCCAATGGGATAAAGAACACTAGTTAAGCTTATCCAATGGGATAAAGAACACTAGTTAAGCTTAGCCAATAGAATAAAGAATGCTTGCTACATTAGCTAATGGAATGAAGAACACTTGGTGGGCATAGCTAATGGAATAAAGAACCCTCGTTAAGCTTGGTCAATGGAATGAAGAACGCTTGGTGGGCATAGCTAATGGAATAAAGAACCCTCGTTAAGCTTGGTCAATGGAATGAAGAACACTTGGTGGGCATAGCTAATGGAATAAAGAACCCTCGTTAAGCTTGGTCAATGGAATGAAGAATGCTTGCTACATTAGCTAATGGAATGAAGAACACTTGTTAGGCTCAGTCAGTGGAATAAAGAACACTTGGTGGGTTTGGCTAATAGAATGAAGAGTACTTGGTGGGTTTGGCTAATGGAATGAAGAATGCTTTTTAAGTTAGCTAATAGAATGAAGAATGCTTTTTAAGTTAGCTAATAGAATGAAGAATGCTTTTTAAGTTAGCTAATAGAATGAAGAGTACTTGTTCAGCTTTATAGTCAGTGGAATAAAGAACACTCGTTAAGCTTACCTGATGGTTGTCCAGATAAGATTGAGTGAAAAGGAACTGTTCGATGATGAGTTAATCTGAGTTAATAAGTTCTGCCATTGAAATCGAGTTGAGCAAATGAATACAAAACAGTCCTGAATATGCAAATGGGTATAGGCCAGTTTTAGTTGAAACTTTTGGAGTGATTGTTTTTATCTGACTTGTGAAATCGTAATAAATGTGATGAAAGTACAAGAAAGTTATTTCTCTTTTTTTGACTCCTGTGTGTGAAGCACAATGGGAGGTTTAGTGAAGGGGGAAGGTATGGTTCAATTTATATTAATATAATTGTGCCATACCTTCCCTTGTTACTAAACCTAAGCTTCGCAAACATTTCTATGTTCAGTCACGGGATATTCAACTCTTGTTTAATTAAACTTAATTAGAACGCAATTCTAAGTTGTATTGCAATGTAATTGGGTGTTTTGTATGGAATTTATTTTCACTGATTTTTGATGAGTTTAATGTGAAATATTAGAAAAAAAGTATATTCGCTGAAATTTATTTTGACGGAATCATCCCTTCAGCGAAAATAGCGAAAATAAATTCCAAGCGAAAATAAAGTATTCTACAGTAATTGTGTTTATATCGCAACTATATTAAAAGTTAATTCAACTATATTAACAGTTAATCCAATGTGTGGTGTTACAACTACGGTAACACCTGTATGTGTGTGTCCGTCTGTGCCACTGATATCTGAAGAGCCATTCATTGGATTTTGATGAAACTTGGTACATAGATGCTCTGAACACAGATTTGATTAGTTTTGGGTGAAAATCTGTGCATATCAATTACCTAATTTGCATAATGATCAGTCAATTTTCGGCTTTTCCACTTATAATTTCAAGTATTAATCATCACATTTCAATGAAACTTGGTACCGGGTACATGCATCTACTAGGACTATACAGAGACCCGATTAGTTTTAGGGTAAATAATTGTGCATATTAATTACCTAATTTGCATAGCTTTTCCACTGATATCTCGAGTCCAAATCACATTTCAATGAAACTGTAGATAGATGCTCTAGGACAATAGACAAACCTGATTAATTTTGAGTTGAAATCATATTAATTACCTAATTTGCATAATTAACCAATTTTAAGCTTTCACACTGATGTTTAAAGTATTATTCTATTTCAATGTAACTTGGTACAAAGATGCTCTTGGACAAATCTGATTAGTTTTGAATTAAAATATGTTCATATTAATTCCCTAATTAGCATAATAATTCATAATTGTTTGGTTCTGATCACATTTCAAATTAATTTTTTACTGTGTTTCCAATACTCTCAGCACACAGAGGTTCTTTCTAAGCTTTCTTTGATTTAGCTTTGCTGTAATCATAGATGACAGAGCAGAGCTGTTCATATACTATTAGGTTATTGTCCATTGTTGTCTTGTTTTTTTTGCTTTGATTTGTTATTAGGCCCTGTTCAAAACAGGGACTTATAATTTGGTCTCCGT